CATTCGTTTCAATGAAGAATACATAGCAAATTTGGGCAGTAAAATTTTGAAAATAAGATTGAGCTATTTAGTATTGCGAGTTTGGAAAGTACGATTACAATATATTTTCTTTTTTCTTTCAATTTAATTTTCTCTTAGGTACAAGACAAAAGTGATAATTTTGCATCTGCTCATCACGCTATAAATTCAGATTTAAAAATTACATAATGTATTTTATCAGTACGTACCACTAACATAATATACCATTTTCATAAATTTATTTCAATTTTTCAAAAATATATTTTGATTTTGTAGTAAAAATAAACAACAAAAAACCCCACTGAAATATGAATGGATGATCTTGGCTAACGATGATATCGTGGAACAGCATCCTCCCCTCTATATTCTAATGAGCAACGCTTCACCTACAACAAGGTGTAGGGCGCCTACCTTACACTCTCGTTCAGGCAAGAGCGCAGGCATTTTTCGTGCATTACCGTGCCCTCTTTCCTTTTTTTTTCCCTCGCCATCGCCGTCGGCGACCGCGCGGGCGCTAACGTCAGGGGGCGCGGACGGGCAGCGGCGGCGGCGCGCGTGCCGGCGTATCGACTGAGCAGGGCGCAGATCGTAAACTCGCGATGCAAATGCCACGTAAAAGGAAAAATCGTTAGCGTTGCGTTCTGCCGTGCTTTTGCGCCGTTTTCTCCCTCGTTGTGCGCGGTAAACGGCGGCCGCCGCCCCGCGTTGCCGTTGCCGTCGCTGCCGCCGTCAACGACGAGGACGGTGTCGCCTTTTTTTTTTTTCCTCATACTCTGGGTGCGGCTGCGAAGGCGACGAACACCTGGTTCAACACCTGCTGTCTTCCGCTCTACGTTTGCGTCGCGGAGATGTTTCATGTGGTGTGATGGGGGAAGCACGGAGAGCGGCCTTTCGGATATCGACTTCTTGGTGTGAGAAAAATACAAGAACCTAGAAGGAGATCGGGTAATAAATGTCAGATAAAATCGATTTGCCCAAATAGTTGTGTCGCGAATTCTGAAACATTCTGATAGTTCTGTTCGTGATTAAATACAGTGGGAATCTTGTATATATTTTCATATTTTATAGAAATCAACGAAGCAAAATTTAATTCAGTGATTATTAAGATTCCGTACATTAACATGGTATCAATTGTCTCCAAAAGTGAAGCTTCGTTAAGATGTGAAAGTAAAGAAAACAAGTGGCTCCATATTCCACGTCCACCACTGTGTTAGAGCTTTTCGCGTTTGTCAGTCGTATCAGCCATCCCGCATCCACATATCATTTGTTAATACTTCGCGGAACAAGAGGCCTCCAGGCGAGCGCACGTAAGGGATGACGCAGCGCTTGCATTGTTTTGCCGAGCCAACTCCCGCGAATCGGGGGGCGCGGAGCCGGAGGCGGCGCTGACAGCAGGAGGGGGAGGAAGGGAGGGAGGGGGGACGTCGCCCGGAGGTCCCGTGTTCAGCTGCGCGTTCCGACATCGCCCCCGCAGCGGAGCAGCTGGCGCAGCGGCCGTCGGCGCCGCCCCGGGCGATGCGCCGCCTCCACGCCCGCGCCTTCGCCGCACGCGCGCCGCGCCCGCGCGCCGGCCGTCCACCTTGCGCCGCGCCGGGAGCAGCGGAGCTCGCCTGCGATAATGAGCGCTGAGGCGGTGCCACGCCCGTCGATACCTCGCCACGCCGCGCCGCGCTGGCGCTCTCCTGGCTCAAACCCGCGCCACTCGCCCTCGCCTCGCCTCGCCCGCCGTGGCTCAAACCCGCGCTCTCAGTCACCCCCTCGCCCGCGTCCTCGTTCCGCGCCGCGCGGGTGTACTTTGCCCTGTCTCAACCCGGTCCGCGCTCTTCCTCGCCCCTCGCCCGCCATGGCTCAAAAACCCGCGCTCTTACCATCGTCCTCACCCTCACCCTCGCCTCGCCCCTCGCGTCGTCCTCCGCCTGCTCCCTACGACGTCCGCCCCAGCGAACGTTTGCCTCTCGCTCCTGCTGCCCGTTAGTGGATGCAGAAATCTCACTGCCTTCGCATAGCCTCAAGCATCGGACTCGCGCCACGTGTTGTCTCAACTAGTTGACGCAATTCGCTTTGGCCGCCTGTTTGGGCTAGGACGGCGTCATGTTTTGTCACGGCCCGACCACTTCCATCCACAAGTCAGTTTACCAGATCGCTTCAACATTGCAATTCATTCCCTTAACACGATCATGTAGCACTATTAATTCGCTTCCCTCAACTCACCTTACATGTCAATATTTTAAACCTATCTCATGATCGCCGATAACTCTCTTACTCACCGTCAATGTTGCTGTTGATCACTGTACCTCCCTCTCTCTCTCGAGTGAGATTGTTTCCCTTGTTCTCTTACGTCTGCAGTCGTTTTGCGTTCGCCATTTTATTTCCGTTGGCTGTCGTTCTCACTTTTCCGTTTTAGTCCTCTCGTCATGTCAGTACTCTCCAGTTCTCTCTCCCTTTTTCCTCTCTTCAGTCCTTCGTCCCGCCCCCCATCGCCCCCTCGGCGTTCCCGCCCTTCCCCGCTCCACCCCGCTCCTCCGTGCCCCGCCCCGAACTGCCGGGCGGCCGGGGAACCGCGGGCTGCCACCGGAATATTTGCATTCAAATTGCGTTTGGCCAGCCATCAAGTGAAATAATGTATGACGCCATACTTCAAAGCGATAGTGATCAACTGCAGCATGCGAAACGCAATCCACCGCGATAGATAAAGACAGACGAGCGAGAAGCGCGAAAAGAAGGGAAGGGCTGTCCCTTGCGCGCCGCGCCCGCGCCGCGCCCTCCCCGGCGCCGCAGCCCTCTGCCTTCCCCCTCGCCAACGCGTTGCCGCCCCCCTTCCTGTCGGCACTGCGTTCCCTGGCGCTCGCGTTGTATTCCGAGCGGCGAATTTACTATATCAAAAACAATAATAAAATTGAATGAATTTACGCAATTAAATATTCTGACCCACAGCTTTTATTATTTGCGGCCATCGCCCTCACGGTTCTCTTTCCCCTTACTTTTTCACACGCTTTGAATACTAGGTGTATTATTTGCGACATTATCATGAATAAATTGCCGCTTCATGTCGCGAAAACGCGATCGTTACGGAATGAGTTGGCGCGCGTTGCACGTGCCCGTCACGCACGTGCGCGTGCACGTGCTTGCTCCGCGACGGCGGGGGTCGTGCCGGGTTGGTTCGACGCACGCGCGAAAAATGAATCTGCATCGATAAGTTGCGTGCCGGCCGCATAGTCTGCGTTAGTTGCGGTAAGAGTTAGGAACTGAGGGTTAATTCGCGGTTGAGTGTGCCTGCTCGGCAGTCTACCGCGTTTTGAGTCGAAACCTTACGCGTTGTGTGGTTATTGAGTTGTAGGTTTTGTTTTTTGCGGTGGGCGGACGTTGCGTGTCCGCGTATCGAAGCGTATACCATCACTAACCATAAACTCTCGAATCCACTTGACGTCCTTAAGCCTGAATCGAAATGCCCTCTCCCCACCCCTCTTGCCGATAGACGACGTTAAGCAAGCTCTCATCGAACAAAAATGATCACGCGAATCAATCATCGGAACGAACGTATGAGATACGGTACTCCGCCAGCGCGCTATCGGCGACCTGCCAGAGACTGGACCGGTGGGGGGGGGCGTCCAGCTGCCCGATTAGACGGCGGCCCTCTATCGCCGAGATCGCCGACCCTCCCCCCCCCTCCTCGCGCCCTCTGCCCCGCCCCCGCCGCAGCTGCCGCCCTCGCGAGACCCGCGCGTGCCCTCGCCCCAAATGATAGCGGAATCGTAATGCAGCGCATTTATATCATAACCCCTCGGAGGAGGACCGCCGGCCACAGGCCGCGCCCGCTTTGTCCCGTCCGTGCCCACGCCCCGTCCCCTCCCCGGCGCAGCCAGCCCTTTCCCCCCCGAGCCATGCAACACCTGCGTGAGGAATGCGCATGAATAAACGATTCGAATGTGCTAGTAGTAGGTGTAGGCCTGCCTATCTCTTCAACTGCCGAGTGGAGGCACTTTTGCATTCGCGTCCGCCGACGGCACCGCGCCGTCTCCGCCGTTATCTGCGCGCTCGCCCGGCACGAAGCCGGCTGCTCCGATAAGCATCTCGCGGCAGCGGGAAAAACGCGCGGGCTTTCCGTCGGCGTCGTTTTGACGGGTCGCTTGCCGCATTCCTGCCTGTGATACGACTGAGGTGTATGCGCACGAGCCGAAAGAGGAATTTCTACTAATTAAATATGTACGGTGAAACCGTATTTGCTAAATATTTTGTTCAGTTTCGACTTTTCTTTAAAATAAAGATTAATTTGCTTGTGATACGAATTCATAGAACGTTTGGAGTTTGTAGTGAAATAAAGATTTATGTTTATTACACATGAATGCCTTCACTTTTCGCTGGACTAAAATCTTGTATTCTCGATTTTTATTTTCATATATTTCACGATATTTCACATCGTACAGCCGACTTTGCGGTTACATGAGTTCAGATTTCGTGGGAGAACGATTTCTAGGTATCTACTGAAAGAACTAAAGAAACTTGGATGTAAAGTATGTGTGGGGAGTTTTCTCTTTCGAATAAAAATATAGTCGCAGAATGAAATGCATTCCATGAAAATATATTTTGTTAATCGTTATTCATGCTGCCGTTGCAAGTGTGTATGTAAGCAGGCGTGGTTGAGTTGTGTGAATGCCCATATATGTACAAGTGTACGTGAATGTTAGTATTTCAATGTTTACCTTGCACATTGGTCAAGTCTGTGCACCGTGTTTGCATTCACGCCGCGTCCTTAAGCGTTGTGACGTCGTTCCGAATGCACCCTCTTCTCTCTCTCTGTCTGTCTGTCTCTCTCTCTCTGTCACCTCCTTTCCTCCTCGCTCGCGCCGACCCGTGTCGCGCGCCCGCGCGCTTGGCCCGCACCTGACCGCGCGGCGTCGCCCGCCCCCTCCTGTGCGCAGCCGCTCACCGGCGCCCAGTACCCGTACGCCTACGGCCAGCAGATGGGCTACTGGTACCCGCAGAGCTACCCCACCACCGCCGCCACGGCCGCCGCTGCGCAGATGCAGGGCCAGTTCCTGCAGGGCATGCAGGGCTACACCTACGGCCAGTTCGGCTACCAGCAAGGATACATGGGGTGAGTACGCACCCTCCCTCCACCAGGGACTGCGGTTGGTTTGTGCTTCAGTCACAATTAAACTTTTTTCTTTGCTCTTCGAATTAGTCTTTTTTGAAAAGACTTCTAAACTTATTTGATGGGACATATTTCCAAGCATAGTACACATTGTGGCATATCTGAAGAAAAACTTGTATCGTTAATACAAAGCAATATTAAGAGACAAAATGAACATTCACAACTGTGTTAGGTAACCCGCTGCTTCGTAATTGCAAAATTGGTAAAATTGGTAGAAGTTACTTTCAGAGATTAAAAAAAAAAACTGGTCTATTTCAGTTCGAGAATTGTTTAATATTGTTCTTCGGCGAATTAAAACCAAGTTCTTTGATAGTTCTATTGATGTGTCTTAAACATTTGTTTTATAAATTATCTTCACTATTTTAACTGTGTATTAATTTAGTCCATATTTTATTTTGTATTTTAAATATTTTCGTCCATATGTAGTATTTACGTGTTCAAAAACATTATTCCAGATCAATCTTGGCCCAGGTGATCAGTCTCAGGAAAGGACTCTAATTTATGTGGAAGACATATTTTGAGCACATTCTTTTCGAAAACGCCAGTTTCATTAGAAACTATTTTAAGGGGGAAAATATATTTATTTTTCATTCTGGTTCAGTCTCAAATTCTTTGCTTGCCTATTATATTTAGAAGCTTACTTGTAGTACCTTCCTGTGGTCTCTATCGCTCATATGTTTCCGTTTTTATTATATCATGGACGTTAACATTTTACAAACAATACTACATACATCAAAATGTATAAAAATTTCTCGAATGTCACAAATTGATGATTTCTGAATTCTGACAAATTAATTTTCAGTTTATCCGTTGCATATGTGAGGCATGAACCAGGAGTTATAGTTTGTTGGCTAGTCCTTTAATCCTCGCAACACAATCGATATTTATCATCGCGAATCTTCAAAGAACTGTTTTAACTTATCCCATGACGGAAGCAGCGAAGCTTAGATGGTCTCCAGAGGAGAGTCAGGTTAGTTAATCTTCCCCCGAGCGAGCATTACACGTGCTGCCCCGCGTCCTACCAACACGTGGAGCAGGGCGAGGGTGAGTGGTAGGGCAGCGCGGTCTCTCCAAAGAAATGGTAGATTGCGGGGCCGTCCGCCGTGACGCGCCCGGCGGCGGGAGGGGCCAAGAGAGAGACGCAACTCCCCCGCCGTTTCCGGGACGAATCAGGGCGGCGGCGCCTCGTTTGGGCCCCCCTGCGCCTTTGTTCCAAGCACAGGGCAAGAAAGCAGCCTAAGATCTCCCATACATTATGCATCGCATACTCACATATGTATGCTGTACGGCTGCGGGCCCCCCGACGGGACTGCAATCAATATTTAAAGAAGCAGGCCGCCGATATGTGGTCGCTGCCGCCCGGCGCCCTTCCTCTTGCCGTCGTCGCCGCCGCGAGCTGCCCGTCCCTACGCCCTTCGCCCGGCGCCCTTCAGTCGGGCTATCGCGTTCACTCTCATCCTTCGCTCGCCGTTCCTGCCTCGCTCTCACTAATGGTGCGCGTGTGTAACGCTGACTGTTACGACGATCCGTTGTGTTCCCGCCTGTCAACAACTGTGGGGCACCCTCTTAATCACTCCTTGTTATCATTCATCCTCGAACTTCTTCAGCTTTCTCATTTACCTCTGAGCGCAACCTCTTTTCCCTGTTCCTCCTGTCTCTATTCCTTCTCCCTTTTCTTTCCTCCGCGGCACCCCTTACAAAGTCGTTTACCCGTTCTCTGTGCCTTCGTGCTCCCAAGATTTTCATTTTCACTTCCTTCAGAATGTTCTCTGCTTGGTAATTTTAGTTCGTCTCCCCCCTCCGCCAGCGCCACTTCGCAGAGAAGCGCACGTCCTGCTTCCCCCGCCTTCTCAACTCTCCTCTTCCTTCGCAAGACCGTCCCAGCCTGCTCCCCTCGATTCCATTTGCCCCTCTTCCCCGTTGCTCCTCCTCCTCCTCCTCCCCACCCTCACAATTCGCGTCAGTGTCTTCGGCGCAGTTCATCTTCCCTCGCCGACGCCTTGATTCGCGAAGCGGCTCGGCGCGTACCTGACTGCGCCTCGGGGAGCTCAGTAAATTTGTTGAAGGAAACTTCATTTTCTTAAATACCCCTCTCATTAGCGCAACGGCGGAATAAAATTTAAACTTGCATGGCAACGAGGAGGGGGGCGGCGGAGGGAGATGGACGGCCCCCTGGCGGGTCTGTCCCTCGCCGCCCGGCCCTCCTCCCCCGCCCCCTTCATACCT